ATTATTAATGATATCTAAATAAAACGATTAGATTAAGAAATCAAGTAATTATGTTATTTTTTAAAGTAAAAACTAAGCAACGATAAAGTTAAATCGCTCTAACGCAATAATATATCAGTTTGATAAAAAAAAAAAAGAATCACTTAGCAATAATACCGTAAAGGTTTAAATTACCTAGGTACTCTTCGGTTGATTAAAGATTAAGATGCTCTGTTACTGTTAATCGAAAGCAAATATTTTAAATATGTGTCTCATCTAATGTTTATTCTCACACTGGTGAAAATGGCTAGTAAAAATTATCTTGTAAAAATTGATTCAAACTCTTTTGAATATCAGGAAGGGCCCGGTGGATACAATTTTTCTATTAAATGCTCATCTCATTTTTCGAATAATACAATACCGATTTTCTTATTCAACGACAAATACTACAAACGGTTCAATGAAAATGTGAATTAGAACGAAAAAACAAATACTGCACTAACTTCAGTAATGAAATAAATCGAAATTGAAATGCGTGAATTTCATACGGAAAAATATTGATGATAAATCTGGACTAGCAACTAACGATATTAAATAATAGAACAAAAGTAAAAATATGTTATTGATGATATAATATTGTATTTTTTAGATAACTGTTTATTTTCTCCCTAAGGTAAGAAAAGAATATTCCTATTCGTGTTGTCAAGCATAATAAAAATTCATTAAATGCAGAAATTCTTGAAAGCTTAGTGATTGCCATGATCATGTAGGAGGAAGAAATACATTTTTACAAGCATCCACAGCCTCTAAACATTGCAATGTACTATAATAATTAATAAGTTAAGTTTAAACGCATGCAAAAAATGTGTACTACACGTCATGAACTTCGAATCATTTTGTCTTTTAACGGTAGAAGTTTGATAAGTAGCATATATCAATCAGAATCTTTGTTAAAATATTCCTTTAAATGATTTATTCTCATATATCAAGTATCTCCGCTAGGAGTATGACAGTTCAATTTTGGTTCCTATCAAAAGAACTGTCCAGACAGCTCCTTAAATCTGATATGAACTGTTCGAACAGATCAGATCAGATCCCATAAGAGACGTTTATATCAATATAGACACCATCCCAGTGTAAATTCTAACAGTTCTTAACTCTGATCTGCCCGAGCAGTTCTTTTGATCTGAACTTAGATCTGAGAATTGTTACACTCCTAATCTCCGCAGACACGGATACCATCATACAATTTATATGAAACACAATATTAAAACAATATCTTATTAGCTACTTGCTCTTCAAGACTAAAGCGTTGTATTTATACAAAAACGTTTTCTCTGTCAAGTTTTTCAATCTAACCTTCATATTCACATAAACCTGTTCTACTATTTGTAGTATTTTCTGCTCCAATAATGACAGTTGGTTTTGATGTAAATAAACATCGACCTGTCCAAAGTCCATTCATGTCTGCAATAAACAATTCAGTGACACAATCACTATTGCTTCTACACTTTGCTTGTTTGAGTTGTGAACTTTCAGCGCATGTAGATCGTCTTTGATCGGTTTCTATGAAAGTTGTCATTACAAATATCGCATTGTTTTCCGATGCTGGAATAATATAATCTATTCAAAACAAATCGAGCATTTTATTTTCAAGAAGATTTTTCTATTTCTTCCATTTACCTGCTACATCCATAATAATTGTTTTATTTTCTGGTGTTCGAACATAACCAATACCTTTTACTTTAAGTGTGACTGATGATATAATGGCTGTACTTTGCTTTTGATAACCTTTTTGATAAATAAGTAAATATGCAACAGAATAAATCAGAATAATAATTTGTATTATACGAAGTAAACCAGCATATTTCACACTGTGGATTAAAACTGCTTTCGAGGTTTCATATTCAGTGAAAAACCCTGTTAAACCATTAATAGCATTTCTGCGAATACGAGCATTGTTTTTAGAAAAAGGAATTGAATTCATTTCTTTGAATAAAATATGTATATTATATATTCTAGAATTGAACTAATAATAAAAGTTGACGAGTTTTATAAGTAACTAAAATCAATGATGATTAAGCACATTTTGGATTCATGAAAGAAACGAGTACATGAAGGCTAGTTATTGTGTTCAATTTGAAAGGTGATCACCTTCTATTTACGCATGAATGAGAACTGAGATAGATAGAGCATAATTTCATCACGATAATAATTACGTACTATTTGAAAAAGTAGAGATAGTAAAATATAATAATATAACAGACATTTTCTGCATATTGTGACAGCATCTATGGAATATTTCTATGTTCATATCTTCCATCGTTGAATACAAAGAGAAAATATAGAAGATTCGCTATATTCTAGACCGAATTTTATTTTCTACTTCACAGGAGTATTTCACTCATTGATCAAAATACAATCCACTGACTAAGGAAATGGCATAGAAACATGCATTTTATGATAGCTATATCACCTAAGATATTTCAGAAAACGAAACTTTCATGCCAATCAAACTTTGAGTGAAGGCACGTTGCATTTGTATAGCATCAAATAAATCTTTTAGCCAGTTCTGGAATTATTTATATGTTAAAAGAAATCTATTTTTCTTTTTATCCTACGAAAGAATTATACAGGGACAAAAATTATTCATGTATTATCGTTTGTTGTAACGCCTCCTCATTAATAAATGTATAACGAAAGAAAAGAAAAATAATACATATCAAGAAAAGAAAACATCAGTATCAGATTCTCTATCGTATTGAAATAACAATCCATAGGGAAAATATAGAAATGCTAATAGAATGAGAAAAAACACGAATAGTCTTTATTTTTTATTGTTTATTTTCCTATGGTCTATTTAAGAACTAAAAATAAATAATATTTATGCTGAGAGTATATTTAAAAGCTAAATACGTATCATTGTACCGTTTGATCATACGATATAAATCTGCATGATCGTGATAATGTCTTATTAGTTTAGATATCGATGAAAAACAAAGTATCATCAATGTCATCATAACATTTTTAACGTATATATTCTTGGGTTATTGATTAATAGGATTCATTAAATATTGTTCTAATTTAGTTTAGTTGCATCAGCAAATCTGCAATGTACTATTGTTAGTGAAAAAGTTCAGACGCAGCAATCTTGAAAAGCTATCAAAACTAGATGGTATTCGAGTTTCACTCGTATACGAAATGCGATGCGAAGCAAGAGCCTAAATCTCCTACGAAAAATCTACAATTCAGAGAAATCTTGAATGCTTTTTATGTCGACATAATGAAATTCATCACTGAGAAAACTTCATTTTTACATGGCGATACATTCTTAAAGAGATCGATTTCGATTGATCGATTCATTTTGTTAGATCAGCTGTAAATGAATAGACTATAGTGGCTAACATATGTTGATGACGTCACTTTAATTATCTTGCAACAAATTTTCATTTTCGTCATTTTGGAACCACATTTGTGAGCGAACAGAATATCAGATTAAAGAATAGAAAAAATATGTCAGAAGTTCGATCTCGATACTTTCATCTCCCGTTTCAATGAGTTTTTCTATGACTTTCTGTTCACGAGATGATACAAACACAAAATGACGATTCGCGATGCGTACATCGAGAAAGTAAAAGAAAATCAACTATCCTAGATGGCTCTGTCAGTATTCTCTATTTTAATTGCATTCGTATTGAACGTTTTATTATTTCTATGATCAATAGATTAGATTATTTGTAAACCAATAAAGTATTTGGTGACATATGTTGATGACGTCGCTCTAATTATCTTGCAACAGATTTCATTCATTTTCGTCATTTTGGAACCACATTTATGAACGAACGGAACTGCAGATTCAAGATTCGCATCGCATTAATTATTTGCTTTTCTATCATTTTCTAACTTAAGTTTTTCTATCGAAACTATCCAACCCCAAGAAAAATGTTGTATTTGTACATCAAAACACTATATTCTAAATCAATTTTTAGGTTAAAAACATACATTAAGACTATCTATAAACTGCTAAGTCGGGTCGGGTTGAAATAAACAAATTATACATAAAACAAAAAATATCGGTTTGGGCAATATCTCACACGGTTTATGTATATTCTGTATTCATGTTAATAATCACCGGATGCATTGAGGGTATGCCACTTTTGCTTGGCTGTTCTGAAAAAGATCACAAAAGAAAAGAAATTGTAGATTTTTCAAAAATAATTTATTGTTTTTTACACAATAGAATTTTGATAACTGATTTAATGGTTATACGGGACTAGTGCATCATTCTTACTTTCATTGCACATCATATCAATGAACTGGATTGTTAACAACAAATAAAAAAAAATCGCCAATAAGAAGGATGAAGACATGTCAACAATTCAAAATCCATTATAACGATACTCGATTGAATTTTCCTCTTGCAGACAAACAATAAAGTATTAGCTCATAGTTGTCTTAAAAGACATACTTTATCTGTTTTGTCGTTGTCGTTGTCTGCAGTATGGTTATAATAAGTAGCTATCTTTGTAATGATAACAATGGTACACTAATAAGAAAGACAAAACAAAAAAATTATTTCAAATTTTATTTCTCCAATAATAATTCTATTAAAAGAATTTTAATATTAGTCCTTCTGCAAAAAACAACGCCTAGTCCTAATCCACATTTAATTAGGTGGCAAACCAACTTTTGATTCATTACATAAAAATGGAAATTGACATACATGTATATATTTCCATGATATGTACGATAGATCACGTCTATGCTATCGACATAAATAACTGGCTACTATCTGTCCTTGTCATATGTTGATGTATGTTCGATTTCCTTCAAATTCGAACAGAAAAACAAGCCAGATTGATATTTTAATTTGTTGAATGACGCTAAAATTGTATTTGCTGGTTAAAACAACCAGTATAATTCTCTCTAGTATATATCTATCTATCTATCTATCGACTTATTTATGTTAATCGAATAAAATATCTTCGATAGATTTCATCTAAAATATAATAAGAAAAAGAATGTCTTCATCATGGATGAGAATGTTTATTCTTATAGCATTCATATATTTTTTTGATTGTTGTTTCTCTAGTAAAAAATCCTATTCTGATATTGAACCATGTGATAGTAATCGTTGTCGATTACCTTATTGTTATTGTTCAAATCAGTCTATTCCAGGTGGATTAGCTATACGTGATACTCCACAATTTATTGCAATAAACATAAATGGACCCGTCAATAAAAATACGTATAATCTATTAAAAGATTTATTTTTTTCAAAAAAATATTTTAATCCCGATGGTTTGTTTATTTATAAAATCAACTAAAACACAAGAATTTTATTTTTCAACAACAATTATTTAGGCTGTCCAATCAGTGGCACTATGTTTCTTAAAAGTCATATTGATACCAATGAATGCTTGCTTCGAAAAGTTTTACAACATGGAAATATTGAATTAAGTATAACATCAAATTCAAGCGAGTAAATTTTCCAATCGTATATATTCTACCTAGATTAAAAAATATTTCAATTAGATGTCCAACTGTTGATTGTCGTTTTAAGGAAAAAAACGATAGAAGTCCGTATGTACCATGGCGTTCATATCGTTTATATAATGAAACAATTGATTATCGTCGTACACTTGCTAAATTAGCTGGTCTTCATTCATCATCATTTGTTGGTTATCGTTCACCTAATTATGAAGTTAACAAAAACCAACTTCACTGGCACATTTTACGTGAACATAAATTTTTATATGATTCAACGTTAATAACACAAGAATGGGATATACGTTTCTATAATCAACAACAACCATCGCCATTAACATGGCCACACACAATGGATTTTGCAGCTAATTATGAATGTTCACAAGGTTGTTATACACAATCATTTCCAGGACTTTGGACTATACCAATACACCTGTATCAAGATTTACAAGGAAGAAATTGTACTACAATAGGTAGTGAGAATTGTCGTGTACCACGTCAAAAAGAAAATTTTTTTAAATATCTTAAATATAATCTTAATCGTCATCTTCATTCGAATCATGCACCGTTTATAATGGCATTTGATAATTATTGGTTAAATGAGCCATACACTTTGTGGAGAGTAGAAGGACTACAATTATTTATTGAACATATATTACGATATCATTCAAATGATGTTTATTTTGTTCGTATGATTGATATTATTAATTGGATGAAACAGCCGATTGGACTTGAACAAATGAAAGAAAAATATTTGTCAAATATCGATGTAAAATCTATTTGTAATGAACAAATTAATATTGATGATGATGATGAAGAAGAATGTTTTAATGGAGGTCAAATACAAAATTTAAAATCGAATACATTAAAACATAATGTATCATTATTTAATCTATTCGATACGATGTCCGAACCATTGTTTCGTTCAAATATTGTTCTATATTCAACAGCTGGCTTTTGTAGTTTTGTTATTGTAACTTTTATTTATGATAGATTTTTTATGTCGTAGATTTTCAAACAAAAAAAAAATGAACATTTGAACACTATTTTGCAGAAAAAAATTTAAAGAATTCTAAAATGAATTATCGTTATTTACGATAATTATGATCATTTGTTTAGAATAGCACACTCGATTTATTCAGTAAGATAGATAATTTTCAAAATCTGGAGATTATAAATTACGTATCTAAATGAAACCCTACCGAGAGAACATTACTAAGGATTGAATATGTTTATGACTCAATTTCAAACAATGAAGATTTACATGACAAGTTAATATATTAAAAGATCAACAATGTAAAACTAGACGAGACTTTTGTTATTACTCATCATAACCTATCGAATGAGAATACTTTCAAGCAGTTAGTGATTTAACAAGTAGAAGTATTAATTTGTCAATTCTTTTCGAAATGACAATGTTCGTCCACACAATCATCAATTAGTTGACGTGTTTACTAGAAAGCAATATAGAAATTTTCATTACAAATTACATATATTCATCATCATGTTTACTATGTTGTTCGGTTCATAAAACCAAATATAATACGATATAGAAATCAAAGAAATTCTAATAGAAAAAGAAAGTATCCATTAAAATCTTCTCTATTTCAATTAATCTATAGCAATCTATCATGACATTACCCTAAAGATCTTTCACAATACATCAATTATAATACACTTGAAATACTAAATAATCGGATTTTTTCAAACAAATATTGAATTCAATCTCATTAACGTTTAATAAAAACCATTTTATTTGTTTTTATTTAAATAAGGAATAAAAGAAAAACAATTGAAAAATATTTTATTGTAATCTTCGCAGAAGAATCTTCTTTGCTGCTTGATGTGCATGCTTTTCCATTTTATCTGAAGAATCAATTTTACACATCGAATAAAATGATATTGATAATTTTACTTACAAATTTTATGCTGGCCTCGCATTGGTAATTTAAAAAATAGTTCTTGGGGATTTTCACATATGAAGACAAAATCACAATCAGATTCACCATCAGGAAATTGTTCAAGATATGCATTACGATCTAAACAATCAACAAGCTCAACACATCCGAGTAAAACCGATGTAGGATATTCAGTTGGAAAATCGATTTTATGATCGCCTAAATAAAAAAACTTTTTAAATATTGACTAAATCGTTTCTTTTTCCTACTGTCGTTTCTTGATTTGTAAAATTGTTCCATACTTAAAATAGTTTCTTGTTCAGGTTCTTTAGCTGCTGAATGAATCCATAAACGTCCACGATGTGAAGTATACCAAGATCGACCTTCATGCCTGAAATACATGAAAAAGAAACGTTTCCTTTTACTCATTCAGTCATTCCTGAAATGACCCATTTTAAATCGATTATTCTATGGACACAATAAGAACGCAGCACCTGTTCACTTCCTCGCCAAAAATATCTATCGAACATGAAAAGTCAATAGTTTTGAAAGTCTCTATTAGAAATTTTCGTAAATTAAAAAGATTCGAAAGTAATTTGACGACAAATTCAGAATAGATATATGATGGCTAGCAGAGTATCCGGAGTAAGAGTAAATTATATATTCACTTCGTTTTGTTGCTACTAATTCAATACTACTGAAAGTAAACATTTCTCAGAGTCCTCATCTTGACTTTTTGCATGCAGAGCGACTTTTATTAGTCGTGCGTTCTAAATCACTATTGTGGTTGTAAGATCACATAGAGAAACTTACATTTTAATTCCACGAATTAATAATGAAGCCCATGGTTGATGCATTGTAAGACACATCCCATCATCTGTCATTTGCATTAATTCTTTATCTTGAATACGTAAACGCTCTCGATCAGTATCTTCGATAGTCATCTGCGATAAAGTCTTCAATGGAGTGGTGGACTGACTCTTACTTTGTTGTTCAACCCACTAAAATATTATTCTATAATCTTATTCAAAAGCAATATAAAAATATGAGACAAACTTGAGGAGCTGACATAGATTCAGGTAAATTATGATTTATTAGATCATTATCATCATCATCATCCCAAGTTGGAACTAATTGTTGTTGAACACGATCCCCTTCTAATTCATATTGATCATTGTCATGAACAGCTCGGGCTTCGTCATACCTGAATTTATTTATAGTTAATATGAATCCTATGTTTTTGTTAGAATTTTATGTCTTGCTAGATAGAACATACTCTTCTATTGAGGATTTATACCCGTTTCTAATATTTCAATATTACCAAGATTATTGAACTTGCAAGAAATTGTATTGTCACTAGCTTTTCTAATTCATTCATTACAAGTAATGCAATATGAAATGTGATGTTTTATAATCAAAGACTAATGATGATTCGATAGAAACGAAGATGCATTCTAGTCAAATTAATATTAACAAAAGAGAACCGTCTAGTAATTTTGGTAATCGCTCAAGTTTTACTTGACATATGTGGATAATTATGGAAACCCCTCTGAGATTCAACCGAAAGCGATTTGCATAAATGAGATACGTGTGAAGACATCGAATTTAAAATCAATACTGATTAGTCGATTTTAACCTTTCAATAAAACTTACAATCGATCACTCAGTTGTTCAGCTGCCGTGTAAACTCGTCTTCCAGCAAAATCAATTGAAATCTTTTGATTTTGTGTGTTTTTCTTTTCAGCTTTTTGAGTTTGAAGTTTTTCAAGTTTACTTCGTTGTTGTTGACTAAGCCATTTATTATTACTATCAAAATAATCAGAAGCATCATCAATAACTTGAGTTCTTTGTGCACTAAAATGAAATTATTTTCAAATCTTAAAATTGTTTACTTTTGTCTAAAATTTATTTACAAACCTTGTTCGGTCGAATTCAATTAATTTATTTTTAAATGCTACTGCTTTCGCAATATCATTTAATGAAAACTGAGATGAATCATCGTTTCTACTTGGCATATTTTGTGATGCATTGTCACGGAATTGATTTGATAATAACTGTTCTTCAAGCTGTTTTCCTTCTCGTGTACCCGATATAATCAATTGTCTTTCGTCACGGCTACAAACCTATATAAAACCAATATCTTGATGTTTTTAAGAGACTTTTTTCGAAAATGCTTTCATCACTCACTAAATTTCCACAGAAAAAACATGGACCCGATCCTTCTTGTTCACATACGATTCGACCACATTTCAGACAATTACTAATCAGTTTATGTTTCGATGCTTGACATTCGCATGTGTTTCGACCTAAACGTAAATTCAACGATAGATTTACGTTCTACTAATGTTAATACCTGGTAATCGAACGATCATTCGTTGTTTTCCTTCATTGCTAAACATATTAACATATTTGGATTTTTTCTTTTGCGGTGTCGGCATGATTTGTTTTATAAATCTGAAAGTCAAAAATGTAATAATCTGTAGCATTTGCGTCTTCCTACAATATTTTCATTCTTTATGTTGTCATTCAAAATAGAAGCTACTATTGTTCGAGTTGATAATCAGATTTCTTGTGAAAGATACGATTGAACACCTGATAGTAAATGTTGAAGAAAAGTCTAAAATTTATGTATGCACAGGAAAGTATCAGCTCAGTTGCAGTACTTAGCTTATGCCTTGAAATGAACTCAACTAAAATGAAGAATAAAGTTCTATCGAAATCAGTATGTTTGGTACGATATATCTTAGAAAAATAATGATTAAACTTTCTTATAGATACATAAAAATTAGTTAACAAATATTTTTTACTTGAAATTAACTCGGTTCAAATGGAAATAGATTTCTAAATAAGTAACGAAATGTTGTCACGAGTTCAATAATGAACTTTATGTATGAAGTCTTTAGATTTGAATTAAAGTGTCGCATTTCTGATAGGAAAAATCCAAATACACAACAACTACTTCAGCAGCTCAGTTCTATTAAAAAAATAACCTGCTAGGAATGGTCAAACCATGCTTAATAATTTCATTTAATTGAAGACAACGAATCCAAACCTTAGTTCAAAATTATATCCAAATAGAAATAGAGTTTTATTGTACTTCTAAATATTTAGCAGGTATTTAACGTAATATTCATTCTATTTGTTTCTTGTACATCATTATCCTTGCTATCAACGATTGAATCACATGTTTATAACATTCTACTTTAATCATGCCTGATTACTATCACCAATCGATCAACGATTTGGTACACAGTTGAAACAATGATCTAGAACATATGAGAGAACTAAATATAACCTAATGGGCGCAAAGATCTAGTTGTCTTCTATTCAGAAAGAAAACGAAGAATGAAAATAAACAAAAAACGTAGGATAACAATGGAAGTTTCCTAGTAACGACAACACTAAAAATGGATTAATGTCGCAGTTGTTCACGTCTGATTCTTTCAGCATAAGTTCTTGAAACAATATTCCATGCATCCATATAACGATCCGAACACTGAGTTATACATTTCTAATCAAAATAAACAGCAATAATATGAAACATCAAATATCATTAGTTAAAACCTGTTCCGAACTTGATAAAGAGCTACCAGGTTTTTGAACACAAGCTTTGAAACATTTGTCAGATAATTTCTTAAATAGAAAAGAATGCGTATTAGTAAAACTAATTTTTACTTGCTTATGAAATTTTACTTGAAGAAGTTCTTGAGCATTTTGCAAAGCCAATTGTTGTTGTACTGAAGTCATTATTTGTTGACGTTGGTTACTATCAAGTTTTTGTGAATCGAGACTCATCTTTTAAGATTGTTTGGTTTCTTTTAATCTTAAAAATATAGAATTACAATTATGTATTCATTCAAATTTTAATTAAAATACTAAATAACATGAAAAAACACATAAATAAATAAATAATAAATAAATAGATGAAAAATAAAAGCAAAAATTGATAACACTGCTCGTTTATATGGATTAAATATCACATTAGAAAAATAGAACAAAAACAAAAATAGAAAAATTAATCTTTTTATTGATGTGAAATCTGCATGGCTAATCGAGGTTTATTTGTTTTCAATTCTGAAAGGAATTCTAAATCATCAATTTGATCATAATCAACATTCTCGATAAGAGATGATGTTGACGAACATGACGATAAAAATGAAGATGAAACATCAGAAGTTTGCTTATTGAAAATGAAAGCTTCATCGTCATCATTATCCATGGACTTGGTTGTTTGAATGGAAGGATACAATGGAATTCTAAATAGACAATGAATTTATTTACAATAAAATCTATCTCTTTGTGTACATATGTATATTCGATTGGCAGTAGAAAAGTTATTAAAGCTGAATACACCGCTGAATTTTCGCTTATTATGTCGAAATTAGGAAAATTCTGAAGACTAAGAGCAAGATTTTTTGAAATATTCATTTTTCGTTGGAGCTGAGCTATGTTTAGTAATTATTCAGTAGAGAAAAGGCGTGTATGAGTGAGAACTTTAGAGTTTTAAAGTAAAACAAAGCACAAGAAATATTTTGTATGTTGACGTTAGCCATGCATTGAGTTCAAAACTAAAAATTTAGCTTTGAATTCAGTCATTGTTAGTCAACTAATCATGCTACAATATAGAAGTAAACTATAAAAAAAGTCTTATTATAGATTGTATCTCGTAGGTTTACACATAGTATTAGAATCTCAGGAAAGTTAATAATGCTCGAAAATGTAGAGACATCTCCTGACATAAGACGGTCATCGTTATCCCTCTATCATAGTTATGAGATGGAACCGACTGGTGGAAGCGAGAGAGAAAGAAAAAGCACATATTTGATTGCTTTTTTGTATGAAATAAGGATTGAAAGGAATAAACGAAGGAAAATGACCTAACAACTAGTAAAAAATATAATCATTTTCAACGATCCTACAAAGTAACTAGATCTTCGATTTTTACAAAAAAAATGAATCCACCTCTATGCTTGCTGCACCAATAGAATTCTCAATAGGGGATTTCTTTTTCGCTGAATTTTTAAAGCACACACAACCATCGCCAAAGAAAATGCCATACATCATAGTTGCAAAAAAGCGTATCAAATAGACTTTTGTATATATTGAAAGCTTCGCCGAAAGTATACACTTAGATAAGAGCACCTGACCGTTCATTATGAATTAAGTATGCTATAGTTTGTTTTGCATGGAAATCTTTTGTGTTAGATACGAAAACAAAAAGCAAATCAGAGTGTCAAATATTGTTACGTTAGATTTCAAAACACTTACAAATAAACTCACACCACTTCGAGAACTGTACGAATGAAATCGAGAATGATATAGATAATGATATAATTACTTACTGATTATTAGTATTGGATTTAATAAAATATTCTTCAATTAATTCTTTTAAATTTTCTAATGTATTACGAAAATCTATATTCTGATTGTTCAGTTGGCAGTGATATATTATCTTTAAAAAAATCGAATATTTGATTATTCATAATGTATTTTTTGAAGAAATAAAAAACAAAAACTTACTTGACCAATATTACGATTGAGCAAATAGAAACCGTATCGAAAATCACTGAGAGTCGTTGTCGGATAGAGAGGAAATCTATAGAAGAAAGCATGTTATTGATAAATTCTATTTCTATTTTTGAAAAAAGTTCCTATGCTAATCCACACTACTTTTACTATATATATGTCACAGTTGACATGAGAATTTCAGTTGAGATTGGAATGCGCGAAATAAAATTATTTGAATTTCTTTTTTTTTCCCCGGCTCGTGTTTCATAAAATAAAATATATTTAAAAGGAAAAAAGATTTTACTATTAAATTGAATCGAAAGAATGAAAGAAATTATAGGTAAATGATTACCTTGTGCTTTATGTATAATAATAACAATGATAATAATAAAATTTTTGTTTTATTTAAATTCTACCGGTATGAGTCGTAATATAATTAATCTCCTCTGAATTAATCATCAGATGGTATTACAAGGATGTTTAGTACATTTTTATATTTGATTTATAAAAGTTGTATAAATAAATAATTTATTTTTCTCAGATAAATTCAATGTCCCCATGTCCCCATTGTTTAACAAATGTACAGAGAGTTGAAATTATATGAAAACCTTGTAAAAAGATGGAAGGAATAATTATCAATACAAAATTTTCTAAAGACAGATCTCAACAAAAATTCTATTAAAAAACTAAGAAAAAGCTATTCCAAACTCAACTAAATCCCAAACTCGCCTGCCACATATATATAATAAATGCCTAAAACTTGATGTTCAATAAAGTGTATGTGTTCTTTTTCTTACTCATTAATTTCTAAAGTATAGTCATATATTTTAGGTGCTGATGCTCCGTGATAATGAATAGGAAATCTTAATGGTAGTTGAATAACTTGCGAAATGATAAGAATTAAATGCGAACAGTTTCCCATAGCTGCTGCTATTTCATTATCGTGTTCTCGATCTAGTTAATATACATATTTATATAGAAATAGATACATTTTTAATAAAGCAATAGTACAAACTTGATGGAGATTGATAAATTTTATCATCGGCTTGTGGTAATCTACAATTAGCTATGTAATATTCCAATTGATTATCATGATGAATTGGATAAATATAACGATAGATATCATTCATGATTTCTTTTTGTCGGTAAGAGATTATTTGCGTTAAATTACGAAGAATAGATCTTTAAATAGAAATTCCATGATAAATAAACAAATATTCATTTACACATACCTCAATTGATCTAGATTATTAGTATATAAACGAAAATCTTCTTGTTGATGAAGTAATTGTGCTAGATTGTGATTTAAGTGACTTCCTTTTAAAAAAATAAAAATAAGCACAGTACAGAAACATCGAATAAATATTCTCATTTACTTCGCTCTGCAATATGCTTCTGTCTTTGGTGATACGCATTCAAACGTTGTTGATACAAATATGTTTGATATTGCAAATAGTTTTTTAGATTTTCAATATATAATTCACGCGATTCACGTTCTTTTATCTTTAGTTTAAAAACGAATATTAATTTCGTCATCGAGAAATAAATAAATATATCTTCGTACTTTTGTTAAATAATCTTTATTTTCATCGACAAATGTTTGTATTCTTTGAAGGTATACTAAAGATGCTTGTTTTTCACTACGAATAGCATGAATAACATTGTTCATACTAAATTTATAATTTATTAATTATACATATGATCAACTTTTTATTGAACTAACCGTATGATACTCAGTTTACTATATGATTTAGCTAATGAAATACGTTTTTTCTTATCTATTGATATTGTTTCTTCATCATTCTCTTGAACATTAATTTCCTCGTCGTTATCGGTGAATCGATAACCGAACATTTCAAGCCAAAGACTATTATTATCTTTATTCACTTTGTTTTTCTTCAGTAGAAAATGACATTTACATTAATTTTAAATAATTTTACTAAAAGAAATATTCTAGTTTACCTGTTCGTCAGGAACAAGAGAATCATTAAGATGAATATCATATTCAAGAAATAAACGAGAATGATCTCCGGATGTTATCCATACACGCATGATAAATTCTAAATATATCAAATTATTTCAACAAACAAGAAGAAAGTGATAAGAACTATTTGTAAACGTGAATAACGATTATAAACATACGCATTGTATTAATTCATAGAGGCAAAATTTACCTTAGAGTAATCTAGTCATGGAATAGAATCCTTTACAATTAGAATACGTATGAAGTTTCTTAGAACGACCGAAGTCTAATAGTTTTAATTGAAAAAGATTTGGACTTTCCTTTCATATACTTTGGAAATATAATCTCTTCGCTCTTGACAAGTTTGTTAAAAGTAAAATTTCAAAATTTCTATCGTAAAAGAATCTAGCGTTCTGCTCTAATAAGAGAATTTATTCGCTCAGCGTATAAAGATAGGTGAATTTGTGTCAACTAAAACTTTTTGCTCAAGTTCACTTTCGCTAACAAATTAAGTTACCTTGTAAACATTGCACATTTGTTGGAAATTGTAAATAAAACCATTCTGGGCTCTAAAATTTTAAAAGAACTATTTTCATATTATTTGCCTCAAAGAACTTACACGTTGATTCACAACTGATTCACTTGTATAAAAAGCTATACAAAAATTTTAAAAAGTAAAATTATTTTCTTCTATTGAATAAGTAAATTTCTTTTCGTTTACCAACAGTTTTTTCATTTCTATGTAATGTAAAATGCAGACTAAAATAAAATTCATTTACTGTTAAATTATATAGACCCAATGCAGTTATACGTCGTAATCGTTTCTGTAATAAATAAACATTAATTTTAATATTTTATCACTCAATTAATTTACTTTAAGAAAAGGCACAGAAATCAATGGGCTCTTTTTTGTTCCTGAAAATGGCATTGTTATATAAATTAATCGTCATTAAATAAATAATCTTTAAGAAAATAAAAAAAAACTCGAATCTATTATATTAAAATTTAAACAGCTGGACGGTTAATATTTATTATTGAAAAAATTAAATAAGTAAATACAATTATATATTAAAATTTAATTATTTAAATATTTATTACGCTTCGACAACACTTTTTGATTGCATCTCTAAATAAAACAAAATTTATTAATGAATATTTATACGAAAAGCACTTTCATTTACCGTGCAAATGGAATGTAACTGATTGTATACCACACCTAGAATAAAATAGCGACTATTATCAAGATTATTTTAAAATTTTATTTACTAGAGCAATAAGTTGTAGAATGATAAATAAGAGAACAAGACCAGAACTTTTAATCTAAAGGAATACAATGAATAATAGTATCGATGATAGTTTTCTTGTTACACCTACCACAATAGCTGATACAAGTGTCAAAATCAGACATATCTATAAAAAAAAAGATGATAATAGAATATTTCACAAGAAAGTTTCATTTCGAAAAAATATAATTTACGAGAAAAATAATTGTAGCAATCAATCGAGAAGGATCAAACATTTTCTTTAATTGATTCAATGGTCCCATCAAGAACATTGTGCTAAAAGAAAAAAAACAATTCAAATGAAAGTCTTAGTCATGAACTTACGATCCAATACCCAAAATAACTGCAAAACTATAAAGAACAGCAAACCCAGAAATATCGCCGCTAACAAAATAGATAATAACCGCCTAAAACATACCAAAATCAGCCTATTAACTGCTTCAATAATATGTTTTCTTTTAATTATTTGTTATTTACGCTATGACTCAAATTATAATATGCGATCTTTGCTGACAGAGACAATGCAATTTCAGTATAAAATCAATAAACTGGTTATTGTCTAATTCTTTAATTTTATAGTCTCCTCCAATTATCAGTCTACTAATAATCGTTTTCGAGCTCATAATCGATTGGCATTATTCCGAACAAATGTATCATATAGATATGTTTCGTCAATGAATTTAAAGTTTTTTTTTCTTTATTGGTAACGACTTACAATAAGACCAAGTACAACGGCAAGAAGTAAGCATATCCCAAAACCTTTTAAACGTGTACTCCATGATAATCCGGATACCTATAAAACAACACACATAGATTCACAAACAACAAAAATGATGTCTTCAATAAAATAAAAATATGGTAGCAATCATGAAAAGAATTATTCTAATAATCGAGCACATGCAGTCATGCATAATCTCACCTTTCCATAATATTTTTTTTGTATTAAAAAATATCGTATTTTATCGATGTTAGTATTAGTAAGCCATATCATACATATACGTCTATATATTTACGATCAATCAAAAACAAGAAAATAATTTTCTCAAAGAAAAACATATTTGTTATCGGTATCTAAAGAGTACACATATTTATTTATTTTATTTTATTTTAAAACCCCACCTGTGGTGTAATTGATTCATCTTCAGTGGCAGCATATCGTCCACTGATGGTAAATAACTGTCTCATTTCTTTCTTTTTTTGGAGGTATACAAGTGCAAAATGAAAAAAAAATCTGAAAGAAAATTATATTTAAATCCCTTAACCATATTATTAACATATTCTATCACCGAAGTAAGTTATAAATTAACAGGAGGAATGAAATGTTGCACAGAAAAAGAGAAAAATTCAACAGCTTGGAATGTTTTTTATTTTATATAAATTCCACTTTTCGAAGAGCATCCAAAACAACATCTATATCATCTTAAAAAGCAATAGAAACTTAACAAATGAAGCATTTCAAAATAAATATCTATTTACTTCGTAATGTTCGAACCATGTTCACAATTTGTTCTTTACCATTAATGACTTCGATTGCTTGTGTGTATGGATTATAATGGACACTGAATGGGCGTGGAATAGTCATGGCATATTGTCTGAAATAGAAAATGTAAATTTAAAAGAGATTTATTCATCATGTATTTCACACCGTAATTTTTCTTTTGCATCTTTAAAGCTTTCAGCTAAGAAATACGTAGGTTGATAATTTGTTATTGGATAAGGTTGAATTGAAGCACGATATGGATCAAATGGCATAATTGATGGTTTCTCTGAGATACAATACTTTTCGAAACAGAAACAAAAAATACTATGAAATGAGAAAAATGTAAAAGCTTTACTTGTAATTCACCAAATGATGATAGAAGACCAGCGCCATAAGCTTTTCGCACATCATTTTCCATGCACAAACCAAATTCAACAGTGAACCAATATAATGTTGCTAGAGTAAATAAAACAATAGAGAAAACATTGAATAAATGTAGTATTGAAATGAATACTATTGATTCATAATATTGTCTGATAGAAATACGATCAAAGCTTGCAATTTAAGATATTAGAAAAGAGAAGCATGTGCTTCTTTTATCAATTGAGGTCAATACTAAATTCTTTAAATTGTTGACCTAGCAGGAAGTTCTTTTAGCGGAAATTTGAGAGATCGCTTTATACAACCATGGTCAATCGACGCTTAGTCCCTAATATCTATTTGTCGAAAATTAATAACGTTTTTACAGCGTCGAAGTTGTTTGAATATGCTATGTCACCTTCGTTTGAACTCCGTAATTTCTTCTTGTTGTATTACTTAAAAATAATAATATCGAACAGGTTAGTATAGCAATTTCAAAAGCAAAAAGAATATTACTATTTCACTTGATATAGTCGATTAAAATTATTCTGAATCATATTAGTTTGATTGCAAGTTGTGTTTAACCGGTTTCAGAAAAATTGAAAAAGTACCCATGACTTGCCAAAGAATGAAACTCTAGAGCTGGGTCTGTGGTTGAGTAGTAAAGAGCAACGCTTTCCATTGAATAGTTCTATCAGATATTAAAATTCAACAATAAATTGCTTCAAAGTATTCTTTTCACAATCTTTGGCAAGAACTCACCTGATTAGTCTACGAGTTGACCAATCAAATTTTCATGTAATCTGGCAAAAACTACTCTTCTCTTTTCAATGGTGTCAAGTGTGATTATTTATCTTATTTGTTTTTTATGATAAAATTTATTGTAACAATGCTTACCTGGCTAATCATCCTATGATCAATGATAAACAACACGGCTGAAAGCCGAGGAATTGTGCCGTTTAGACAGAAACTTAGCAAATTTTACCATTCATGTATGCTTCAGGTAGCTGTACTTTAAGAGTTAGAAAAATTTTCTTAGTCAACACACACCTACGTTTTACAGTAGTAAATGGTGAAAATTAAAATAAAGATTTCATTTACGTCTCTCTAGTAGTATATGCAAGAGTAATTTTAAATAAAATATTTTCTCACTAGTTCAGTTGAGTTTCTTTAGTTACCAATGCCCTTTACTATTATTGAAAAATACATATACAATGTTTCGATCTTAAAAAAGCGTCGGATGATTTACTTAATTTCTAGAAATTGTCATAAATCCTGAGAATTTCTGTAACTCTATAATTAGCATTAGATTGTTATGAACTATTGCTCATTTTCGATCACACCCAGAATTAGGATAGTCAGAAACTGAATTAAATAAAAAATCATTCATACCTAAGCGAGTTATATATTCATCAGGTGCACCTAGACTAGCCAAGCCAATTTCTTGACTAAACTCAGCAAAATCAGGATCAGCAAAAAGTGGTACATGACCAAGTAATTCATGACAAACATCAGGCTCAGGTGTATACATTGGTACACTATGATGACGAATATATTGCGTTGAATGAAACACCCGAAAAGCTAAACCAGCAAGAAAATCTCGTGATGATAAGAGACCTGAATAAAAATCAATTGAAATATTTAGTAAATTAATACACTTTATTCAACAGACCAGCGACTGGTCGAAGTCGAAAACCGGAACAATCTTGTAGAAATTGTGACACATCTTCTAATTGTGGTATATTCGTTTCATTGTAACCACAATTATCAATAAGTAAGGGGAAAATATTGTTGAATTCTTTACATGCATGAGTCGGATAGAGTTGCACTAGTTCACGAAATACAGTTGACCATGTTGAAATTTCTTGTTCTGTATATGTAACACGTGGTATCGGTTGATTATGGCGATATTGATGAGCTATGTCAGCAAATTCTTTTCGGCGTTTTCTATAGAGTACATCGCGAAAACCAGGATGATCAGAATCTAATTCTGATCCATACGACAGCACGCGATTAGCAAATTGATCTAGATCACGCATTTTTCTTGGAAACCATGGTACTAAGAAGTATAAAATTTCTAATTTCTAATAATAAAATAAAAGCAAAACCTACCAGATGCATCCAATGTTTTATGAGCACGCGAAAGTACATGAATGTATTTCGATTCTTCGCGTAATTCTTTAATAACATCAGCCACACTACCCATTGTATTATCACATTCAACATAAAATTCATGATCAGTTTTATTTTGTCGTGATAAACGAGATTCAATATGAAGTAGATTGATACCATGTTTCTAAAAACGCAAACAAAACAACAAATATTTGAAATTCTTTGAAGGTATAATTATATTAAGAATTTTTAATTTATGTTAGTTGTTAGCGAGGAGAAGTATTATTTAATCTGTAGCTTAAAAAAAGGTCAAACCTTAGTTAGACATTGAATATTATTTAAATAGCTAAATGGATGATTAACGTAAAGAATGAAATCGACAGTAAATTATCTCACCTCAAATACTTGAAGTGCTTTTGCTAAAACACCAACTTCTTCGTGAAGTGAAAAAATTAGCGATGTTTTTGTTGAACATTCTTCGCTCTAGAAAATAAAATTTCGATATTAAATCTAAACTTAAAAAGGGAAATTTGCGCAAAACGAACCTCTGTTGAAATGAATTTACCAGTCATATCATTCTTATTTTCTTCTTTAGCAATTCGATCAGCACTAGCCTTAAAATTAAAATAACAAGCATAAAATGTTCGTTACACTTATATATATATATATATATATGTCTCAATACGAACTTCAAACAAAGTACCCATGATAAATTTTCAAAATCGACAATATACTATCAGATTATTCTAATAGTTGTATAATAAGTATTGATGAAAGAGTGTAATTATTCTAAAAAAAAACAACAATATATATTTCTTTATATTGGCGTCAGCGGGCCACAACACATAGTGCCCAGGGCATGCTCGCAAAAGTAGCCAATTGATATTTTTTAATGAAATTCAAAAAAAAACGAACATATTACAAAAAAATATGCAACAGCTGTCTAGAAGTTATCACTTTAAGAAAGTACGTCATTCTAATTAAGTAATTCCGAGCGCATTTTAACAATTGTGTCAAGTTAATAAAGGCAAAAAAATACGGGACAAAATTACATTAATATTAGCTGTGCCCTTGTTCGTATTTCATTTGTATTTAATGTAGTTGACGGTATGGCTTGCACTATATCACGAAGAATTAAATTTACGTTTAAATGGAAATTTTTAATTATTATCAAATAGAAATGCTTCTAAATGTTTAATTTGCTCTATAGAATTAAAACAGGATTGTTAATAAAACATTTAAAAAAAATTCAATTCGATTATCGTCTATTTTATAAACGCGTAAGTGAATAATTCTCATGGGACTTTTAATTTGAAAAATACATTACCAAGTTCAAGGTTGATTAAAAACAGTAGAATAAATTTTGTTGCAAAATAATTAGATCTGATGAAATGTCTAAGATATTTTTAGATTTTAAACAAGTTTGTTTGAAGTGAAAAAAATATAACTTTTTCTCTCTCATAGAATGGTTCGTATAATTTAGATTTATTTTTGGTAGAAAATAATTGATAGCTAATAAATACGACATGAATGAATCTTCCAACGTCTTTAAAATTGTTTTCTCTCAAACCAAATATTGATATTATGTCACTCATTGTACTAATAGTAAATATCGAGATTCTTATGATCTTAAATTTTTTAAGAGTCTACACTGAAACTACCCAACATCTTTCAATACATCTTAATACTTACAACTTCTTTGGGGGGAAAAAACGTTTAATTGTCATCTAATGATAAATACTGTACTGATTAGATAAGAAACTGCTTGAAAAATATCCTTGAGACAAGGGAATACTAATGCAAAGTTCAGAGAGCCTATATATGAAGAGCTGCGAAAAGGTTTTACCAAAATGAATATAAGAAAGCTTCTGATGTTGTTTTTTTTGGATTAATAAACGTTTAGTGAGAATCATTTTGATCCACTCAAATTAAAGAGCATCCTAGAGGATATTGCTTTAGTATATGCCAGTAATTATTTCGAAATTTTGAATTTCTATTTGTTTTAATTCTCCATATTGAAATTTTAAACAATAAATGCAGTGTAATCGGCAGCACACATATATATAATAAATATAAATAGAATTTCTAGTTACGACCATACTCTGGATATGATAATACCATAAACGCTGTTGATGAACATGTTTTTTTTCCGTCTCTACAATCTAGTTCATCAAGAAATTCATCGAACCACTATTCGTTTTGATAGAAAACTTCTAAAATTAAATAATTAGAATATTTCTCACTTGACTTACTAAATCATGGTTAACATGTTTCCATCAATTTGTCTATTTCGGTACTGTTATATGTAATAAATTAGCAATTGAATTCATTCGTTTCCAACCCTTTTATTTAGCATACGCCATTTGTTGTTAAATTTACAGGAACTTCGATTTTTTGAACATATGATATTCTGCATGGGAGAATCATTGATAATCGATCAATAATACTTGTTTCAACAGATGTTTAAGATTCTTTCCAATAGAATCATTGAGCTTTTTAGTCTGAAAGAAACAAAGAAAGACTAAATTGAAACAATGCTTTTCATTTAATACACAGAAAAAAAAACGAACTATACAAGTAAAAACAAGAATTAATTCATTTAACGAGTACTATTCAATGTAAATGAAATTTTCTCTCTCGTCTTATTCTTTCCTAAAATAAGATTTTGTTCTTTTGCATGCTGCTTTCCTAATTGTCGTTCAAATCGTTCTCGATCCTCCATGAGACGTAATTGTGCAGTGCGTAACTTTTCTTCTTCTTCAGCCTAAACAACGAACAAAATGTATCAATTAAAAATATTTTTTCTATTTAATTTACTATTCGCTTTTCAGCTTCAGCTAACTTGCGTTCATTTTCAATAAGCATTCGTTCTAAATCTTCACGTTTTTTTCTTTCTTCTTCCTGTGATAAAAAAAAAGAAATATATTTCCGTTTAATTATTCTAAGTTTTTGTTTCGTTTACTTCTTTCATAATTAATTTATTCATTTCATCGTTATTTCGCTTTTCAAGTTCAATTAACATCTGTTTTTCCATTGATCGCTTAAGTACATCAACACGTCGTTTAACTTCATTTTCAATTTCATCTTTACGACGCTCAAGTTCTTCACGTACACGTGTTTCAACAATATCTTTTACACGTCGTTCAACTTCGGATTGAATTAAATTTTCACGAGTTTCTTTTTGACGTCTAAAGAAAAAAAAGTAACGTACTCATCATATAGATCTGTAGCAATGAATCAATGCGTATATAATTACAATCCTATACGTGCCAGTCCAATCAGTAATTGAATCAGTCCCGTACCTGATAGCAAACTATACATGGTTGATGCGCTATCGAAAACTCTATATTTGTAACATGTTTTATCGCCTGTGAGTAATAGTTTAAATCTACATTTCTATATTTCAACATATCAACTAGATCGTGTTTTACAGCACATAGTTTTTAAAAAAAGTTCTACTTACATTAGTTGCATTCGTTCTCGTTCTAATTCTGCTAGACGCTCGACTTCGGCTTTTTTTCGAGCTGTTAAATCAGTTAATTCATTGATGCTTGCTGTTCGACTAATCGTTAAGGTTGACTTGTCACGGGTATCATTCGATGAATGACTCGCTGATCGATGACGAGAACTTTAAGAACACTATAATAATAGCTATTGATTTCGAAATATCAATAAAATTACCGTTTAGATTTTTTTTCTTTATCTCGATCAGGTGTACGTGATTTATGCCGTTGTGAGGAATTACTAATATTACGATCTTTCGATTGATCTCGATCACGTGATGATTTTTTATGCTTATGTTTTTTATTCGGTGGACTGGGTGTTCGACCCATCGTGCTGTAATAAAACAACACGAAATCTAAACAAATTTTAAACAAACTGGTTAGCACTTCGATGAAAACGGGTTCAAAGAGTAATTTAAAACTAAACAAACAAAGAAAATAAAACGTTTATCATATTAAGATTGCCGTTGAGTCCTACAAAAATAAAAGACAAACAATACGATTTGATGCTCTATTTACGAACAAAATTAAAGAAGAAGTACATAAACATTCTTACCTACTATACTTACTACGTGGTAAAGGAGAATCAAATCTAGGGTAATAAATTTAATTAAAACTAGCATACATGTGAAAAATAAATAAAATTAGTTTGTCTTTATTTTTATTTTAGAAATTAATATGAAAGAAGACTTCAACTTTTAAAAGGCAACAGATTGTGTTTTTTTCTGTATTTTTGAAGCGTGACACTAGTATAGATCACTGAAAATTCACTGGAAGATTGTTTTTCTTCTGTTAGTATGAGTTTTTATAAGAGTTTTCTAGCGCCCACATGCCTTCCGATACACAATAGAGTAAATGAAGTCTTTGCAATTATTGTATTTATCGATCAGCTAAAATAAATTCAGAGAGTGTTTGTGTCATATATCACAAAATTCAATTTTATTGCTGAAATTCTGACTTTCCTCTTTCAATACTTGACATTTAGAGAGAAAAAACTAACAAATAAATAATAGTTAGCTAAGATCAGCATCACAATATGAATGATGACTCATGATATAATTCTATTTGAAATTGATTTCAAGTTGGTCATCCAATAGAAATATACATGTTGACAATAGCGACATTTGAGAAGGTATATATGTCTCAGCATTATACAAAGCCATCGTTCCAATCAATCGTTTACAGCATCAAAATTAAAACGGATGAGTAAAATGAATGATAGTGGATAGTCCAATTGAGAATGCAAGACCAATATAAAGATGGCGTTGAGAAAGATCGCCTGGTCACCTTCTCATTTTTCCCGGATTTATGGCCCTACAACAGAGTTAAAAAATGAACGAGATGGCAAGTCTGATTTCCCTACAGAAATGAAACACAACTAACAGACGAATCCCATAGGATGAAGGTCTAGATACTTTCTCGAGATATCTATTGATTCGTATTGAACTTTTTGGAAAGATATTCATGATTTTATTTACGGCAAAGCCATATATCCACGAGTATTCCAGTGATAAAAGTACAAAAATTGATCGTAGTAATACTGGAAACATGCAATATCAACAACTTTCAGAAATACAATATAGTTCTATTAATAAAGAAATTTATCGAATATGGTAGGACCTTGCAATATTCTACCAACCAACAGAATGCGATGGGATTCTGAATTAAGACACGATGTTAGCGGATCTGATGGTTGAATCCTATGTAATAAACTGAACACTATTCAGTAACCAGCATCGTCCAATATGATCTATGAAGAATCGTACATTTTTTCTGATTTAAATAGGTCCCTCTATTCTTCAATACGTAAAAATATTTCTATTCGATAGTTTCTAGTTCGATTGTCGACTAAATTATGTGAGTAGCTGTACTTTAAAATGTCAAACTAATCTAGAATGAAACAAAGCTTAAAAGGACACCAACAGAGTGTGGTTTTATTCGAACGAAACCAAGATGTAAAAAATGATACTACCGTTGGATATGATCTTCTAGATGCGTTGATATTTTTCCATGAACATCGACAGCGAAACTTTTGTGAATTCTATCACTTCGCCGCTTGAGAATTATAGACGAATCATTGACACCTACCCTCTCATGGATTTGTTTAATAGTTACATTGACGTTCTGTTAATTTTAATCGTATCAAAAGTATTTTATTATTCTGCCATATAAAGAAATGCTGAATCCGATTAATTTTTTGTTAATGTCATTTTTCAATTTTTGAAGACTACGTTGTTGTTTCATGTTTTCTTCTTTCGATAAACTAAAACTGAAATCTACAGGCTAAACACAAACACTTGTGGAACGAAATTTCTAAATTACAATTCATCTTAAAAAATCCTATATCGAAAGCAATCACAATTGTTCTCCACTTTAGCCGACAATCACACTAAAATGAAAACATGTTCATTAACAAAACATTTCTGATTACTTTCCATTGCATTTCTTAAAACAAGACACGGAAGTCAAAGTTTATCTATCATTATTTATCAGTTGAAAAACAGTTTGGAATGATATTAATATAGTTTTCCATCTATTAGAAGAATAATCAATGTGAGTAGTTCTATTTAATTTATATTTAGTTAGCGACAAATACGATTTGATCACAAAGGTCATGAGAGTATAAATACCTCAAGAAGATAATATTCAATTTTATTCATCGTCAAAAGAAAAAGAAATATTTCTACTACACCATCATATCTAGGGTTAACTGGCAAAAAATATGTTGAAAATACAAAGCATCTGTTCTATTTGCCGAATTCTGGTGTAGGACCAGCTGATTTTATGAGATTATTTTCGATGACGAAATGCCAATCAGCCGTTGGACTTGTTACATCGTCGAATGGTGCTGTTAATTCTAATTTTGTTCCATTGTCTAAAGTAGCATCGACACGTTCGATCACTTCACGAATGTTGTAAGTTGGACGAGTGACTAATCTTTCGGATAGATAACGAGTTTTACCCTTCTCTACATCGATATCCAAACGTGTATGTTTGACTTCTCCTTTGTCATTTGGAATGCCTTCATAAGTGAGAACAACTTTGGCATTGTGATCGGAAACATTCTTCAAAGCACAGGCATAAATTTTACGACGATAATTTTTACTGGTGTCAATACTCATGGTTGTGGCTAAAACTACAATTGGCTGTATTATTAATACACAAATGCGTATCAATATATCTGAAGGTAAACGAATGAAATGTAACGGATGAGAAATTATGTCGCATGCACATGTGTATGTATTCTGTTGCATTCGACTGATCAATGCATATGTAAAGGACACAGAAAGTATTTGAAACCTTACTTATTGAGAATGAGAGGGGGAAAGAGAAAGAGGGAGGAAAAGTAAACAATCATCTGAATAGATGTGGCGTTTTTTTCTTCATGGTTAGAACAAAATTTAGTTGCTACATAATCAAACTATGATTGTGCTCCATCAGAAACAGTATTCAATACGGAAACATAAATAGAAAAATTCTATGAGACAAAGCTGCGTGAGTTATCAATATCCTGTTGGTCATTGAATCTATCGAAGTGTTCTAAAAATTAATTGACACATTAATAATTGGATAGTTTTCCGAGCAAGAGAACTTTCTTCATAAATATCAGCTCCGGTGTTGAAGTTGGAATAACATGAGAAGTGTGAAATATATTTCAATATATCCTCATTTTCATAATATTATTCATCTATTTTAATGGCATCCATAAATACGAAAACATCGACTGTATTCAATCAAATATCCAGTTTTGGTCTCGATGATATTATTAAAATAGATTGTTTTTATGCAAAAATTCACCTTTCTATAATTCTTTTTGTGATTGTATTATCGTGTTCTAGCATAATTTTTTCCTTTGCGATTTGATTTTCTCAATAAAACAATGGATGTGTTCAGAAAAATGGATCCACGAAGCGGTTAAATAAAGAGCGTATGGATAAAGTAGTAAAACAAGCAAGGTTCATTAGTAAGATCATTCTATGGCTCTATTTTGGTAATAGATTATAATTTTGTACTTAGAACACAGAATTTTGCTATCATCCCTATAAAACCTTTGCTGAAAAATAAATGGACTGTTGAAGTTTTTTTTTCTGATGATCATGACGTCATAATCGATGCATGTCTCTTATTTCTACTCATGAAATATGATGATATTATTCGTATAAATATGTGTACCATCGACATAAATCGACATTTCCATAGGAGTGGACTATGTTTTATTTTGTATAAATACAGAGTCGAATAAAACTTTTCATAGTTCTATTTTGTTAAACAAAAAGCAGCTAAATATAATTTTAAAATTATCATTAATCAATCTTTCAGTTAATATAATCTGAGGTAATATTTTTATAGGAACATAGTAACTTAAATGTTCGATCAATACAAAATTCTTAATGACATCCTCGTAGTAATAAGCACATCTCAAAGGGCTATTCCAATTTCATGTGTTTTACGACGATGATGTTAACAAAATAAAATGGCGCTACTTTTTTTTCCTAAACAAGAACAAAGCAAAACAATGGAAATTAATACAAAATTGAAAAAAATTCAACTTTACTAATGATCCTTTCGTCATTTTCGAAAACAACATATCCAATAGTAACTTATCAATGACAAACAACAAGAAAAAATTCCATTTTTCTTCTCTAAGAAAATTCATTAGGTCTAAGAAAAAAGAACGATCCACCGTTGAATTACCATTAATGACTCATTTATCATCACCACATACTGAAGAACGTGAAAATGAATACACGAATGCATTACAAAATGCGAATAATCATTTCAAACAAGAAAATTATTCTAATAAAATAGATACTATTCATTTTAATACTTCATTAAAAGAAACAACTAAAGAATTCAATCAATATCAAACAATGTTTTATGCTGACCAAAAACTATTAATAAATCGATCACTAGATAATTTTACAAGAAAATCAATAAACCCATATTTCAATGCATCATTGAGTTCTCAGTTTCTTCATCAAACATCGTTTAAACGTATAGCGAGACGATTATATTATTCAGATATATCATTGAGCATGATATCAAAATATCAAACTAAACAAAATATGAATTCCTCAATAAAATTACTTTTAAGATCAATGGATAATAAAAATAATTCCTCATCAAAACTAGTAATTGAATATGAATCAATTTTAAATAAACAGAATTCTTTAAGTTCGCTAAAAAGCGATTCTAAAGACAAAGAAGAATCAGCTATAATTGAAATTGAACATCAATCTTATAATTCAATAATATCATCAATAGATTTGAGTAAACCTCTTGAAAAATCATATTCATCACCATTACCTATAAATGCGAAGCATTTCTATAATAATAATAATTTGCAAAGTGCACATTTTATTGATCAATATAGCGAAGATCGCAGTGAATTATCCTTAGATTCATCTATGAATGAAATTGAAAATAATCAATCGATAAAAAATATCTATTCTTACGATAATAATATCGAAAATAATATTAGAAAGAAAACTGTTCAACGACGTTGGAGTTTACTCGATATTTGGAAAACAACAATAAATAAATTACCACCAATTGTAAACTGCATTTGGCGACAACAATTACATCGCACGGGTTCAAGAGAATTTCGTAACATTTTATTGCCTGTTAATCTAAACAAAAATTGCTTAGGCTTTATTTTAAAGTACTTGAATACGATCAAGCATCACCAATGAACAATAATCAAACCAGTCGTGTACAAGAACAGCGTTATGTTGAACAAGAACGTTCAATCAATACTCATTTTGGTCTTGCTCTACTTGCTCTATTGATTTTTCCACCGATTGGTAAGCTCATTAACTCATAATTGTAATACAGCTATTAAAATGACGTGCTATTGCTACATATTCTCTAAGAATTATCTTTCTATCGTTTAAGGTATAGTATCTATTATTCTAAGTATATGGTCATTATGTGGTCAACAGGATCGACATTTATCTCGCAAATTGGGCAATGCTGCTTATTGGATTTCTTTATTAGCAATATGTTTTTCATTTTTCTTACTTGTAACTCTATTTACATATTTTACTTATCAATATTTAATTAATAGGCCAATCAGAACTAAATAATATTTTACTGGCAATATGATGCAACATTCAACAATGAAAAATATTCAAGAATTTCAATGCAGTATATTTGTTCAAATAAAACTCTTGTTTTTGTCTCATCAAAAGTTTTCTTCATTCATAAACAAATTTTATAGATGTTCAAAGTAATTGTATTATAATCAGATAATTCATTTCAAAATAAACAAATACTTATCATACTTTCATAATTTTTAAAAAGAATTCATAATTCATAGTCAGAAACCTTCATCGTCAATACTTAGTTTTGATCAATCTAGATCAAGAAACGGAATTCATTATCACAGGTTTTATTAACTATTTTCTCAGTTATAACTATAGGTATTAATTTGCTGCAGATAACAAACGTTAATAAAATTTAATTTCAGAAGTGATGACAGGTTCATTTAGTATTATATATACATCAAAATATGTTTTGTAGTAAACAACTTAGAGAAATCTAAACTTTTTTTTTGCAGGATAAATTCATGCCAATAGAAATAATTAATTCAGTCGTTTTGATAACTGTGTTCGATTGAAAAAAAGCAATGTTTATATCATTCATGAGTTTAATTCACAAGTTCCTATCGAAACACAAGAAGAGTGATTCACTTGTTAAGTCGAATTTAAATACTAATCGTTTGGACATCAACTTCCAGCTGAATGTGCGTGACAATTATGCCAGAAACAATTATCCGCCGATGTAGTCATGAATAGAAGATGGACCAAGAAAAAAACAATCGTAAAATATTTCATTTTGAGTCGATTCAATGATAAAAAGAATAATTCTGATGTTTACCATCTCTTCTTTATATATAACAAGATATAAATGTTGTTCATCAATAGTTCAAGGACACATGTTAATGAATATATTCGAAATTTTGTTAAATTTAGATTGGTAACGGATGTGGAAAAGAAACAACTAGTGAAATTGAGTCATGTATTGTGTATATTGGAGTAGTATAGATTCGAACGATCAAGTAATCAATTATTGAAACGAAAAACTGTGGGTATTTTACGCGATGTGTTGCATTTGAATCGAACATTATGATAAATAAATGGTGTTGTATCTATTTTTGTAATATTGACTATTCATGAAAGCGTCCATCATTAGAAATTCTACGAGTCATCTATGATAAAATATAATATTATTTGAATGAATTCGATACTATGATTTGATGATGTGTAAAGCTAGTCTACATCGAAAGTCTTTAGTTTTATGTCCAACTCAGCGTCTGACTTCAGATATTTGAATACTCTCAACATTAAAGTACCAACATTACTTATAAAAATAGTTTAACAAAATTTCTAATTTAAACTTGAATCGTACTGGATAATGAAAAGTAGATTTATTATTATAAAATATTATTTTTGCTTTCAGTTTTCAGTTTATCTTTCTCCGGTAGATGATCTAAGCTTGTTTTCTTATACGTGTTGCTGAAATAGATTGGGAATCATTTTTATGATCAATGCGCTTCAGACATATTTAGAGTAAAGAGAACCTAATCAACACTTTTGCATTCTCTTCATAGTAGATTTTTCGAGTTTCAATTTAGTTTTTGTTGTATCTTATTAAAGCTAAACTCAAGCATCTATGTGTCATTAAGATGCGACTAAATTTTTTAAAAGATGCTGATTCTTTTAACTTTTCATTTGCTTTTGTCAAATTGAGATGTGTTTATGAATGCGTTGATCCATACGTAAATCTAGTGAATCATTGGGCATAGATTTTCTTGCTGTCATGACATCTCTAACGGATACACAAATGATCCAATTGTTGATCGTACGAACAATTTTCGATTTATTATCGATGGAAATCGACGAATTGTTTACTTGATTCAATAATAGAAAAGAAAAAGTAGTTTTTCAGTAGGCGTGGTACGTTTACGCCAGTTCAGAATTAACGTTAACTAAAAGCGTTCACCGTTAATTAACTTGTGCTAAATTAAATGGTTCACCCCTATTTATCAGCATATGAAACTTTGTCTCATAGAATTTTTCTATTTATGTTTCCGTATTGAACACTGTTTCTGATGGAGCACAATCATAGTTTGATTATGTAGCAACTAAATTTTGTTCTGACTATGAAGAAAAAAACGCCACATCTATTCAGATGATTGTTTACTGTGGCGGGGGGGGCGGGGGGGGGGGGGGGGGGGGGG